TAGATATTCTTGTTTCTTTCATATCCTTGCCAACACTGGGTGTTGCCAGTCTTCTTAATCTTTGCCAGCCAGATAGGGCAAAAACAAACATTTTTATTTACCTTTCTCTGATTATTAATGATGTTGACCATGTTTTCATTTTTTGGAATACTTGTTTTTTTTGTGAAATAACTGTTTCTGTTCTTTGTCTATTTTTTTACTGATTGATCATTTTAAAACCTAATTATATTAAAAATTCATAGTGTATTTTTTTCTCAGCTTTTAAAAAACTTTTGGTTATGATGTTTATAATTTTATGTGAGTTTTCAGTCTTTATTTTCTGTATTGTTATCTGCTTAGATGTTAGGTTTGGAAATGATGTACATATACAAAAGATTTTTTGGGATGGAAATAATTAAAGTGGATGGATTTAAAACACACCAAAGAAATTTACTGAAAATATCCAAAATCAAATGTTTAAGGGGGCGAGTAAGAAGAACAAGAGCTAACGGCAATGATTTTTAGAGTATTTACAAATATTACAAATATTTGAAAATGTTTTAAGTCATTTTTGAAGAGAAGTATAACAGAAAAGTGAAATAAATGCATATATTCATTGCAGAGATTGTTTTCAGTAGCAGTTAAATGTACTTTGAAGTAATGTTTAGATTTTGTTACGTTTACTTTTAGTTATTTTCTTTTTTTAATTTCCAAGCATATGTTTCCTTCAGGTCAGTTTTTATAAATATTCCATATGTGCTCAAAAATATATATTTGGTGGAAGGTTGTAATATATTGTCATTTTTCTAGGCACACAAAAGGATTGTGTGCCATTAATTAGTTTATGGGGCTCTTAGGTATGGGAGATATCTACCACTCCTTTTTTGATAAATGGGTTTCAAATATTTTCTCTCTGTCCCTATCTTTTGTTTTTATTTATGGTTCCTTTTGTCTAGAGAGATTGAAAATTTAATGTAATAGATCTTTTTCTTTATTCTACATTTAGAAAACTTGAATGACTTCACTGTCATTAACGTATAAAAAGGCCAGTTATGTAAGATAGTAGGGAGAAATGGAGACCACGGGGAACTAGAGATCCATGTTCTGCCTAAGGCATTGACATTCAAGTGGTTATAAAAAAACTATTTATTTATTTATAAGATTTTATTTATTTGTCAGAGAGAGAGCACGAGCATGCATGCACAAGCAGGGGGAGCAGTAGGCGGAGGGAGAAGCTGACTCCCCGCTGAGGAGGGAGCGATGTGTGGGGCTCGATCCCAGGACCCTGGGATCATGACCTGAGTTGAAGGCAGACGCTTAACGACTGAGCCACCCAGGCGCCCCTAAAAAACACTTTATTAGTCAAAGTAAATATGGACTCATTCAGCCAATTTGTGTGACTTTTGTTATTATGAGTTTTGGGTTTCTCATTTTGTATAACAGAGTTTTTTGTTCTGGGTAAAAGTCCTGTCAAAGATTCTTCCAATATTTTTACATTTTATTTTGGAAATATTTTATTTTGTCATAGATAATCTATTTTTTTAGTATAAAGTATAAGTTTAACATGTTTTCTCTCGTTGTGCTGTCAGTTATGCTAGTGCCTTTTGTAAACAAATATCTTTTTTTACTGTATTGAAATGTCATCGTTATTGCCTTAAGTTCCCATATATACTGGGATTTATTTCTGAATGCTGTTTTGGCCCACTGATCTACGTGTATACCAGTACTGTTTTGGTTACAGTTTTTTTATAGTAAGTTTTAATATATGATGGGGTAAATTTCTACGATATTTTTCTGACAAATATATATATGACAAATACGACAAAGAAAAAATAGGAAGAAGCCAGACAGTTCCTAAAGAAATATACATGGACAACAAGTATACCTACTTATCTTTACCAATAATGAGAATCCAATTAAAAATAATTAATTTCTTTCCGGGGCGCCTGGGTGGCTCAGTTGTTAAGCGTCTGCCTTTGGCTCATGTCATAATCCCAGGATCCTGGGATCAAGCACCACATTGGGCTCCCTGCTCCGCGGGAGGTCTGCTTCTCCCTCTCTCACTCCCCCTGCTGGTGTTCCTGCTCTCGCTGTATCTCTCTCTGTCAAATAAATAAATAAAATCTTAAAAAAAAAAAAAAAGAATTTCTTTTCTTCTTTCCCAGTATAATATTTCTAGTGGCTGGTTTGAATTAAAAGCTATGCAAAAAACCCCCAAAAAACAAAAAAAAACCCCATCCGTAATGGTGAGAACTTTTTAATGCCTATCAAATTCACATAGAATTTAACAGGATCTGCATTTTTAAAAAATACCTGTGTTGCATTTAATCTTGTGATTAGGTGACACACATGTCCCTATCTAATCAGTGAGATTCTTGTGTTATCCCATACCCTTCATTAGTCCTTTTGTACTATTAAAGTTTTTATACAGCTTTTAAAGCATATTTTAGATAAGGAAAGCATCTGCGTATGCTCAAGTAAAGAAAGATCAGCAAATAACCAGCTGCTTTTTGTGTACCATCTTTTGGTTTAATATATCAAACTCACAGAGGACCTTTTTCTTTAGCAAACATTTCTAGGTTTTGGATAATTAAAGTATGTGATACCTCCCCTCCCACAAAGTACTTTGGTTTTAAAGCATTCAGAACCGCTGCCTTTACAAAATGTAGCTGATGGTTTCATACTAAATGTACTTAATGTAATAGTCTCTACCATTTCTGACTTTATAACATTTTTTGTCTAATATATTCAAACAAAATGTACAGCATAATGGATTGGATGGTGTGAATATGAGATAAAAACACTTAAAAAGTTACCTTTTTAAAAAAAATTTTTTTCCCTAAATTAGTTTTCCTGTATTCTAGATAACTTTCTTTCTTTCTTTTTTTTTTTTAAAGATTTTATTTATTTTTCAACAGAGAGCGAGCGAGAGAGGGAACACAAGCAGGGGGAGTGGGAGAGGGAGAAGCAGGCTTCCTTCCCGCTGAGTAGGGAGCCCGATGTGGGACTCGATCCCAGGACCCCGGGATCATGACCTGAGCTGAAGGCAGATGCTTAACGACTGAGCCACCCAGGCGCCCTAGATAACTTTATTTCTAGACTCCATTTTTCTTATGCCGTGTTAGGAGGACATTCTATTTTTGACAAAAGAAGAATGTTCACTCTCTCTTTAAAGAACATACAAAAGTCAATCAGTTTACATGTAATTAATGTTATTAAAATTAGTGTAACTCAGTTTTCAAGCAGAAATTGAGGAAGAACAAGTTCTGGACCAAGTAGTCAACAGAGCATAGACCACATCTTTTCTCCTTTTGTTCTCTTTAATAATAGCGTTATTGTATGGCATGGCTGTAGTTGATGCTGTGAGTGATCCACCCTCCTACCCTGGGAGCTTCAGTATGCTTGAGTAAACTTCTCACTGTTAGTATTTGCATCTCTAACCTGCTGACTCTTCTTGGAAAATTAGGAAGAAGCCATGCTTGCAGGGCCTGTGGCTGACCAGAAGCGCTGTCAAATTAACGCTCCTGGGTGCAGCCTCAGCCACTGACTCTCAGGGCCTGGTATTGTTGTAAATACTACACTTGCTCCCTTGGGTGGAATAATTCTGAGACATGTTTTATACTGTTGCCTAGAGCTTTTCTGAGGGATTAAGCCCACTGTGGTAGCTGGTTTAAGAGTTCAGTTTTATTGGCTGCCTTCCCTTCCCTATACCACTTCTCTCTTTCTCTGCCATTGTTACCTGAACTTCAAAACTAATCTACTTTCTTTTGAATCCTGTATCAGGTTTTGCTTCTAGGAATATTTAAACTAAGACAGCATGACTTTGGGGGTAGTGTGACCAAACTTCAATGAGAAGTTTCACTTTTCAGCAGTTTTATTTTTCAACATACATGAATTGCAATACTTTTTTCACCCTCACTGCCTATATGATTGGGAGGGGAAAAAAAAGGAAAAGGAAAAAACAAAAGAAAACCTCTAGCATTGTCTAATACAGTGAGGAGAAGGGAAAGTGCTTATCTTCAGGTGAGGTTATTTCAGTTTATTGCATTTAATCCTCACAAAAATCCTATGAAATAGTGACCATTATTATTATTATTTAAGAGATAAAAACTGAGCTCAGACAGATTAAACTGATTTCCGAGAAACATCACAGGGGCCAGGATTCATACCCAGTCCATTTCAAACTTGGATCCTAACCCGAAGGCTATATTCTTCCTTTTTTTTTTCTTTTCATTTTAGTATTTGAAAAAAAATTTTTTGAAATATTCTTAACATATGGGAAATTAAGAAAATAAAATAAATTGTTAACCTGTATCTGCCATCCAGTTTTAACAATATTTGGCTACTTTTTGCTTTAGATCTTGTTTTTTTAAAGAAGTAAACATTGTAGATACAGTTGAAGCTCATCTACATATTCCTAACTCCTGTGTCTCCCCCACTTACCTCACTCGAGGTAGCTATTAGCATGACGTTAGTATCATTTCATGCGTATTTTAAACTTTGACTGCATATATGTATCAGTGAATGATATGATAGTAGTACATCATGGGTTTAAACCTTAAATAAATTGTATCTTGCTACAACTTGCTTTTTAAACCTCACTTATCTTTATGATACTCATTTATCCATGTTTTGAGATATAGGTCTACTTCATAAAATTGATTTATAATTATGAATTATGAACAATTATGATTTATTATGATGAATAATTATGAATACTATATGAAGAGTCTACAATTTATATACCATTTTTTCCTACTGATGAACATTTAGGTTGTTTTATTATCTTATAAAGTTTTCATTTGAATTTCAGTATAGTTAACATACAGGGTTATGTTAATTTCAGGTTTATAATATAGTGACTCAGCAATTCCATACATTTCTCAGTGCTCATCACAAGTGCCCTCCTTCATCCCCATCTCCTGCTTCCCCACCCCCCACCCACCTCCCTTCTGGTAACCGCCAGTTTGTTCTCTAGAGTTAAGAGTCTGTTTCTTGCTTTGTCTCTCGCTCTTTTCCCCAGAAACACAGAATGCTTCACGAATTTGTGTGCCATTCTTGCACAGGGCCCATACGAATCTTCTCTGTATTGTTCTCATTTAGTATATGTGCTGTCGAAGTGACGCACTATTTGTTTTTTTATTATTACAAAATAATGCTACTGTGAACATTATGCAGTAGTACATTCATTTCTCTAGGGTTATAACTAGAAATGGAATTTCTGGTTTGTAGGATAGTTATATCTTCAGATTAATTAGATGCGCCTAATTGCTCTCTAAAATTATTTGTTTGAAGGGTTCTACATCTTCTCTTCCACAGGTGGTATCTTTAGACTGCTTAATTTTGGCAGCCTGATGGATATGATTCGGTATCTTAGTTTGCATTTACTTAACTACAAGTGAGATCTACCATCTTCTTTGTTTATTGATCTCTTCATATCTTTTGCTCCTTTTCTCATTGGGGTTTCTTTTGCTTATTCATTTATATTTGTAGTTACCTTCTGTTAGTTTGGCTTATAATCACAAGGATCAGTACCATTTGGCACCCGTCAGCTTGATAAAAATGTCCTAAAGTTAAATGGTTAACTTTTCTGTATGGTTTTGTTATGTGTCTCTTCTAAGCACTGTATACCTTGATTTAAAAAAGGAAATCTAGTCTGGGGTACCAGGGTGGCTCAGTTGGTTAAGCATCTGACTTCCGCTAAGGTCTGATCTCAGGGTCCTCACTCAGCGGGGAGTCTGCTTGTCCCTCTGCCCCTCCTCCTGCTTGTATACACACTCTTTCTCTCTCCTCTCTCAAATAAATAAATAAAATCTTAATAAAAAAAAAAGAAATCCAGTCTGATGTTCTTTGTCTTCTAGAAGGTGGGTTTCATTGGCTTATTATTTACATTTATTGTATTTGTTGACATTTGGACTTAAAAATTTTTTACTATCTTTTCCTTTTAATTTCTTTTTCTGCCTTTTTTTAGATTATAAATCTTTTCTTTCAATTGTTAACTTAAAAATTTTTGACATATATACTTAAATATTCACTTTTATAAAAAAAACCAGTTATTTAGTATACTCTTACTAAATAGGCAAGGAGGAATCAAATGCCCTCTGTCATCTTAGTCTCATCTAAAGTTTCAGTTTTACATATTTCTTTTTAAGTTTTCCATTTTTAAAAATCTGTCAGTACCTAATACCACTTTACTGTATTTAGAGATCAGAATCTTTAAACAAATTTTTGAAGTAAATGTTACAAACAACCTTTGCTTTTAAATACATGTGAGATGAATTGTAAAATACAAAATGAAATCCGGGACTTCATTTCCTGAAGTTTTCTGATTGAGTAACTTGAAAACACTCACTAAGAAATGCTAGATGAAATATAACAAACATTCTTTAAAAAAGCTTTTTTCTTAGAATTTTGAACATACAAAAGTAGATATAACGGTATAACGTACTCTTGCATCACTCAACTGCGATAGCCCTTATTACCTGTGTCATCTTATTCTGTGCCATCTGCTGTCCCCATTTCTGTGTTATTTTGAAGCACATTGTAAACATCATATTATTTCTTCCATTACTATTTCAGTATGCATCTCTAAAACATAAGAATGCTTTTTAAAATTAAAATCATCATAATTCCTTAATATCTTTAAATATTCAGCAAGCAATCAAATTTCTGAATGCCTGATAAATCATAAATGGCTTTTTAAAATGGTTTTGGTGGTTTTTTTTTTTTTAAACTAGGGTCCAAATAAGGGCCACGCATTGGGCTTTACAGTCTATGTTTCCTGCATCCCTTGTCTTTTTTCTTTTTTAACCACGTTGGTTATAGTTTCCCACAACCTAGATTTTGCTGATCACATTTTCATGGTGTAGTTTGTGTTCCTCTGTTCTCTGCATTTCCTTTAAATTGGTATTTTACAGACTTGATTGTGTTCAAAATTGTCATATACTGCCAGAAAATACTTTCTTACATATTCTTGTCCATTTCTACTTTTTCAGCTGATTGCCTTCCAGTCCTTCTTATAGGATCCTTTCAAATTCCCTTTTCCTTTATAAATTTGGTTTTCTATAGCATTAGTTTCCTGTTCTTTACCTTCACTGATGTTGCCTTTCCTAAAGGTATCACATCGTATCTACCCTAGGGTCTAGAGGAAGTATTTATATCGCTGCTTCCATAGGGTAATATTTATTGCCCTAATACAAAAACCAAAAATCTTGTCCTTTGAGATTAATATGATACAGATTATACCGTCCTCAGTCCCTCCTGTTGTCCTCTGCTGCCCTCTTCTTGCCTGCTCCTATGTTGTTAGTTGGGAATTTTTGGCATCTAGCCTGGTTTTCCTCTAAAACCTTTTTTCTGACATGATCATAGGTTATGTATTATCCAGGTGAAGAACTCACCTAAAGACACTTTAAGGTTTCTTAATATATTTGACTCTGCAGTGTCATCCAAACTTGACACTAGTACTACTTTCTCATAACTTCATTCTAATGAAACCTTGTTATTATCTCAAGTTTGTCCATCTCTGAAGTTGTGAACTTGTTAATTGTACCAATCTCTGGTCACGTTCTTCTGATTGTTGAGGTCTTTTATATTGTATTCCTGCGCCCTTGGTCCTGTCCCTGTCTGTCCTAGGGCTAACGCCTTTCCCCTTTGTTTTCCCCCTTCTTTCTTTGATATTATCACTGTTGGCCCCTCCGGTAGCTTGAGAATTATCTCATAGCTTATTTTTATGTTCTCCTGGATCTTTGACCATCTCCAGCTACCCTGTCTCTTTTCTGCTCTTCACCCTCAAGAATAGCCTTGCCACCTTGATTTCCTTTTTTCCTCATTATTCTCTTCTTAAATTTCCCCCCCAGGTATTTCATAGACATTGGTTTAAAAAAGTCAGATCACACAGAAGAGCTTATAATGCAAAAACTATTACAATGAGAAGTTTTATTCTTCCCACTTCAGTCCTTTTCTCCAGAAGGAGTTAGTTTTTTTTTTTTTTTTTAAAGATTTTATTTATTTATTTGACAGAGACAGATAGCGAGAGCAGGAACACAAGCAGGGGGAGTGGGAGAGGGAGAGCAGGCTTCCCGCTGAGCAGGGAGTCTGATGTGGGACTCGATCCCAGGACTCTGGGATCATGACCTGAGCCGAAGGCAGCCGTTTAACGACTGAGCCACCCAGGCGCCCCAGAAGGAGTTAGTTTTGACTGTTAACTTCTTGTAGTTCAATCTTTTTTTTTTTTAAATTGTGTTATGTTAGTCACCGTACAATACATCATTAGTTTTTGACCATTGTTTTTGTATAACACCCAGTGCTCCATGCAGTACGTGCCCTCCCTAATACCCATCACTGGGCTACCCAATCCTCCCTCCCCCCTTCCCTCTAAAACCCTGTTTGTTTCTCAGAGTCCATAGTCTCTCATGGTTCATCTCTCCCTCCAATTCCCCCCCACATTTTTCCCTTGCTTCTCCTAGTGTCCTCCATGCTATTACTTATGTTCCACAAATAAGTGAAACCATATGATAATTGACTTTCTCTGCTTGACTTATTTCACTTAGCATGATCTCCTCCAGTCCCATCCATGTTGATGTAAAGGTTGGGTCTTCATCCTTTCTGATGGCTGAGTAATATTCCATTGTGTATATGGACCACAACTTCTTTATCCATTCATCTGCTGAAGGGCATCTCAGCTCTTTCCACAGTTTGGCTATTGCAGACATTGCTGCTATGAACATTGGGGTGCATATGGCCCTTCTTTTCACTACATCTGTGTCTTTGGGATAAATACCCAGAAGTGTAATTGCTGGGTCATAGGGTAGCTCTATTTTTAAATTTTTGAGGCACCTCCACACTGTTTTCCAAAGCGGCTGTACCAACTTGCATTCCCACCAACAGTGTAAGAGGGTTCCCCTTTCTCCACAACCTCTCCAACATTTGTTGTTTCTTTCCCTGTCCATTTTTGCCATTCTAACTGGTGTAAGGTGGTATCTCAATGTGATTTTGATCTGAATTTCCCTGATGGCTAATGGTGATGAACATTTTTTCATGTGTCTGTTAGCCATTTGTATGTCTTCTTCAGAGAAGAGTCCTTTCATATCTTCTCACTTTTTGACTTGATTATTTGTTTTTTGGGTATGAGTTTGAGAAGTTCTTTATAGATCTTGGATACCAGCCCTTTATCTGCACTGTCATTTGCAAATATCTTCTCCCATTCTGTGGGTTGCCTCTTTGTTTTGTTGACTGTTTCCTTTGCTGTGCAGAAGCTTTTTATCTTGATGAAGTCCCAAAAGTTTATTTTTGCTTTTGTTTCACTAGCTTTTGGAGATGTATCCTTTTTTTAAAAATTTTTTTATTGTTATGTTAATCACCATATATTACATCATTAGTTTTTGATGTAGTGTTCCATGATTCATTGTTTGTGCATAACACCCAGTGCTCCATGCAGAATGTACCCTCTTTAATACCCATCACCAGGCTAACCCATCCCCCTACCCTCCTCCCCTCTAGAACCCTCAGTTTGTTTTTCAGAGTCCATCGTCTCTCATGGTTCGTCTCCCCCC